GTGTGTGTGTGGTGGTGTTTGTGTGTGTGGTTGTGTGTGTGTGTTACTGTATGTGTGCATGGACTCATTTTAACTTAATGTGTCATCGGAGTTGCTTCCGTCACTGCTGCCTCTTTGTCAGTGGAGTTTTTGAATAGTTGAAAACGCAGCAATATTAAAGCATGTACAGATTCCATTATACGTTAAATTCATGCACTCAAAATATCAATAAAGTACAAAAACTAGCAAAAGGGAATTAGCAAAAACATGTACTTAAAGTATCAGAAGTAAAAGTACTTATGCAGAGTGACTTCTGTCAGTATTACTATGATACCATTTGATCGCTATTATCTATGCATTCATTGACAAAAAGTAACATTTATCTTTGAAAGTTTGATCTGTAACAATAGGTTCTATTTGAAATATAGTAGCTGCAGCTCATCACTACAGATTCCTCCTTCATTTACCTAGATGAGATAAGGCCTCATTTGGGTAATTTAACCAAAATATGATTCCTTAAATATATTCTTTATTGTATTTCATTGATTGATAAAGGAATTAACATCATGCAAAAGTAGCATAACATACTGTTTTGCCCTGCTTTTGTTTAACATCATGAACATGACAAAATGAAAAGCCAATAATCTACATAATCATCATAACTTAAACATATTATCAAATACATCAAGTCAAAACTGGGGATGATTCAAGTTGATGATACATATGTTTTTAAACCCTTAGTTTCTCCTCTTAAAATATATTTGCAGAAAACAGAAAGACACAAAAAACAGGTTTGACTTTTTTATGTTCCTTCGAATCTCCAAATGCATGTGTGCAGTATACATGTAGAGCATAAGATACAATCAGCTGATAAATATAAAATTCAGTAAAATAGTACTCTAGTCATGTAAACTGGATTTTAGATCTACGACACAAGTGGTACCAAAACACTACATGCCTGCTCATCTAAAACACGACGTCTGAGTGCGTCTCCTATTATTACAAATGCACACTAGCTTTGCTCAGCACTAGTTTGAGGTCAAAGGTGACGGTAGCGAGGGGGTGAGGAAGTGTGGGTGAGACTCTAAATCCATACAGAAACATCTGTTGCTCCCATTTGAACACCTTTCTCCTGTTGCTGAAAACCAGCTCCTAACTCAATAGGTGTGTTAAAGTTTTGTAAAGACATTCTGTGTTGTTTCTGAGCGATGCAATGGTATCCATGATGTTTCCCATCGCTCTGGAACATCCCATACTCCAGGAAGCTTAGGGAACATCGGTAATCATTGCAACATGTTGGCCAGGACTGAGCACTACTTGGGGGCAGTAACGTATAAAGTATTCGGAAGCAAAAAATAGAAATAATCAAGTAAAGTAAATAGCTTAAAACTGTGCTAATTGAGTTAATAGTAACTTTTCCCCACTGCTTGTTGTTTGGGTAAACACTGTTTCCATTCACAATGGTCTCAGTGAGTGAACTGTGCATGTCTGTGAGAGGGACTCAGATCTAGATAAATAAAGTCAAAGTGAATAAACATTAAGATAAGGTCTGACAAGTATTGTGCTGATAAGGTGCCAATAAAGCTGATGATAACAGTGCGACCGCGGAGGTAGACTAGTCATGCAGCTTTTATTGCACACGTGTCAGACTTCAAGATTAAACAACATTAATCCATAAAACACTGTGGACAAACATGTTGATAACTATAACTAGGTGTTGCTGATTCTGAGCTATCCATGTTTGAACGCTAAGATACTGTGTATAGATAAATATGTTATTTGTTGGCAATACTTAATACAAGATTGCAAACACATCAACAATGAGAAAACCTTCTTACATGCTGGTCCTAATTAGAGGAAAACGAGTAAGAAGACAGTCACCACAACCAACATAATTAACATCTATCTTATTACCTAGATGGTTTCATTCTGTATATTTTATAACCAAAGCCAGCTTCTAAATGTATATAAAGTCAAATGCACGGAGCGATCTACTTGATTCCTTGTTTCCACTGTAAGTTAATGAGACACATCAGCCCAGGGAGATGATTAGCATTTAGGATCAAACCTGTAATCAGTTGTGTTGAGCATCTGATGCTTGTTTGTGGGGACGCTTGGTTTCGTTTTCATGACATCTAACAGAACTTAAGTGTGGTGGAAACAGCATCTGTGAAACCTTGGCGTAATGTCTCCCTCTCTGTGTGTCAGGCAGAGGTGAAGAAAGCGAGAGGAGACGTTTCCTGATATTCTTCCAGAGCCTGAACCCGAGCCAACCAGCCCAATGTCAGACTTTGAAAACTCCTACAACTATGTCTGTGAGTCTCCATGTTCAGATTTAAAGGTCACATATTGTGCAAAATCCTCTTCTCCATGTCTCTTCTACATCAACATGTGTCCCCTCTTCTTCATGTCTCTTCTACATCAACATGTGTCCCCTCTTCTTCATGTCTCTTCTACATCAACATGTGTCCCCTCTTCTTCATGTCTCTTCTACATCAACAGTGTCCCCCTTCTTCCATGTCTCTTCTACATCAACATGTGTCCCCTCTTCTTCATGTCTCTTCTACATCAACATGTGTCCCCTCTTCTTCATGTCTCTTCTACATCAACAGTGTCCCCTCTTCTCCACGTCTCTTCTACATCAACATGTGTCCCCTCTTCTCCATGTCTCTTCTACATCAACATGTGTCCCCTCTTCTTCATGTCTCTTCTACATCAACATGTGTCCCCTCTTCTCCATGTCTCTTCTACATCAACATGTGTCCCCTCTTCTTCATGTCTCTCTACATCAACATGTGTCCCCTCTTCTCATGTCTCTTCTACATCAACATGTGTCCCCTCTCTTCATGTCTCTTCTACATCAACATGTGTCCCCTCTTCTTCATGTCTCTTCTACATCAACATGTGTCCCCTCTTCTCCATGTCTCTCTACATCAACATGTGTCCCTCTCTTCTTCATGTCTCTTCTTCACATCAACATGTGTCCCCTCTTCTTCATGTCTCTTCTACATCAACATGTGTCCCCTCTTCTTCATGTCTCTTCTACATCAACATGTGTCCCCTCTTCTCATGTCTCTTCTACATCAACATGTGTCCCCTCTTCTTCATGTCTCTTCTACATCAACATGTGTCCCCTCTTCTTCTTCATGTCTCTTCTACATCAACATGTGTCCCCTCTTCTTCATGTCTCTTCTACATCAACATGTGTCCCCTCTTCTTCATGTCTCTTCTACATCAACATGTGTCCCCTTCTTCATGTCTCTTCTACATCAACATGTGTCCCTCTTCTTCATGTCTCTTCTACATCAACATGTGTCCCTCTTCTTCATGTCTCTTCTACATCAACATGTGTCCCTCTTTTCATGTCTCTTCTACATCAACATGTGTCCCCTCTGTGGAAAGAGACTCTGAAAGTTTCAGGAACAAAGATCTCTCTCTTTTGATCAATTTCTAAAAAAACCTGTCTAAAAATGAGCTGATCAGATTTTGGCCACTTTATGATGTCATAACGATGTGTTGTCTTGTGTAACCATTAGCCAACCAGCCACCAAGGTAACCCCCCCCCCCCCCCCTTATCACCTGAATCTCCTCCTAGAGCTCCATTGAGTTCTTTGTAACCAAATGTCTCTCAGAGGGGCGTGGGGAGGGGCTCCTTATTTTCATCTAAAGGAACAGACAGAGAATCAGCACTTTGGAAACAGGGCTGAAACAGAGGGGATTATGGGTAATGCTGCAATGATCTGTTTGGTGTTTCAGCCAATCAGAGACAGAGTCTGTATATATCTGAGACCTGTAATATATTGAGGAAAAACAGTATAATAGGGGACCTTTAAAGCTTCCTATCCAGAAACACTACGGCAGAACTGTGGAAAGAACTGCATCACGTTACTCCAAATAATAACCACAAGTTTTAACAGCTGTACTTTGAAGTAGCAACGTCATATTTCATGAATGCAACATTCCTGTTCTTCTCATTAGTCCTACTCTGTCATATTATTTTCTGTTCCTCAGTGTCTAGACTAGCCAGTATGGACCAGGCGATCCACAGGCTGGATGTGGGTCACTACACTCTGGATGTTAAAGTCAGTCAGCTAATGGACCGTCTGACCAGGGTGGATGGTAAGAAGATCACTCTCTCCCACAAATCTTCCAATATAATTTCTCTTCATGGATTTATTTCCCAGTCCAACAATTATTTTCCTTCCTATTTCTGGTCTGTATTTCCAGCAACTTAGTCGGTCAGTTTCATGGTAAAATAGTCATACTGTATGATGATAAATGCATCGCCCATCTCTACTAAAACGTGAAGTATCTGCAGTGAAATGCATCCAAATAGAGTCAAAATTGGTGTTGATATTGCCCAAGGTGGAAGAAGCAAGATGAATGAAAACTAAACTATGAATTAAATGTAAGAAAGTTAATGGGCGGAACTACATTTGGTGTCCTCCATCGACTTATGTTATAATTTACTTTCATGTGCAATCCATTTGATAGTCTTGGTTAACTTAAAACAAGCAGGAATTCACAAATGGTGCAATCACATAATGCACATGCAACTAGCCTTGCATGTGCATGTACACACACACACACACACACACACACACATCACTTCAGGGGACATTACATGCATTTCCTGGAGACTTATCCTAACCTTAACCATAACATGCCTATCCCTATCCCTAACCAAGTCTTCACCCTAAAATGATGTCCCCATAAGGGAGGAGAGTCCCCACACGTGACTGTGTAAACAGATTTAGGTCCCCACAAGGATAGTAATGCTAGGACGGACACACACACACACACTCACACAAACTTGACCCGACATGGCAAACCTCCGCCTCCTAGGGCAAAAACTGTTGCCACTAAATACTTGAAAATGTTCTAGTACAGAGCGAGCCAGCACCAGACACTTTTTACTCTGCTATGGACGGTCTTGCACTAATGTACATTCCCAAAGATATTGAAGTGACCGTTATTCTGTATATATTGATTGTTGTGTTTTTATCTTAATGTGTGCATATGTATAAATGTGTCGGTTGATTGTGTATATATAGGATTTACATACATATTTCTATATTTGTATTCAGGATTGTGGAAACGGTATTTCGATCTCTCTGTCTGTACACACAAACTGAAAGATTGACAATGAAGTTGACTTTGACTTGAGCTATAGAGCAGCTGTTTGCAGTTAATATGAGGATGCATTTTTCTGACTAATTTCATGACTCTTTTTTGTTGTTCCCTTCCAATAACATCGCAGCTAGAGTGGAGGGGCTGGAGGACAGCATCGCGGAGGTCTACCAGCACAGCAAGGTCAACCGCAAAGAGATGGGAAGACTGGAAGGTAATGGAGATATGTTCCTACAAACATGACTCCAAGTTGATGCCACAGAATCAGAATCAGAAATACGCTATTTATCCCGAGGGAAATTAGGTTTTTGAATGAAATAAAACAAAAGACAAAATATAATAAGTTAATACATAACAATAATTTAAAGTAATCCTTTCCAATACAAAGATAAACATTAAACGATTACAATACTATATAAACATAATAAGTATGTAAAGTAAGCAACAGTTGGTGTATGCCATCCATGTATGGTGATAGTATGTCAATACTTTGTTTACAAAATGTTGCACTGCCCCCAAGTGGCCAAAAATATATTGGCAGGTTTTTTTTGGCTTCTCATCTTGTTTCTCTTTTGCTTCTCAGGCTGGTCAGAAGGGACACAGGTTGGGATACAAATGCTATCCTCGTGTACAATAGCCTCGGAACTACGCCTCAGCTTCCAGAAAGTGCCAGGAGCGCGGCGGCCGCATGGCGATGCCCCGAGACCGAAAGGAGCAGGAAGCCCTCGCCGACTACGTGAAGTCCTACTTCCACCCGGGGAACTGGCCCGTGTGGCTGGGCATCAACGACCTGCGATCTGACGGCCTGTACGTGTTCGATGATGGGTCGAGGGTCTCGTATTTCCAATGGCGGAGACACTTCCTGTCCAGCCAGCCGGACGGAGGGAGGCGGGAAAACTGTGTGGCGATGTCCTCGGACGATGGCGACTGGTGGGACCATTACTGCGATCGCACCATGAACTATATAGTGCGAGTTTGGATAACAGGGAGGCACTTTTAAAATGAACTCTCTTCAAGATTTAAAGGTCACCTATAGGCAAAGTCCTCTTCTTCATGTCTCTTCTACATCAACATGTGTCCCCTCTTCTTCATGTCTCTTCTACATCACCATGTGTCCCCCTCTTCTTCATGTCTCTTCTACATCAACATGTGTCCCCTCTTCTTCATGTCTCTTCTACATCAAACATGTTGTCCCCTCTCTCATGTCTACTTCTAATCACATGGTCCCCTCTTTCTTCATGTCTCTTCTACATCAACATGTGTCCCCTCTTCTTCATGTCTCTTCTACATCAACAGGTGTCCCCTCTTCTTCAATGCTCTTCTAATCAACATGTGTCCCCTCTTCTCATGTCTCTTCTACATCAACATGTGTCCCCTCTCTTCATGTCTCTTCTACATCAACATGTGTCCCCTCTTCTTCATGTCTCTTCTACATCAACATGTGTTCCCCTCTTCTCCATGTCTCTTCTACATCAACATGGGTCCCCTCTTCTTCATGTCTCTTCTACATCAACATGGTCCCCTCTTCTTCATGTCTCTTCTACATCAACATGTGTCCCCTCTTCTTCATGTCTCATCTACATCAACATGTGTCCCTCTTCTTCATGTCTCTTCTACATCAACATGTGTCCCCTCTGTGTAAAGAGACTCTGAAAGTTCAGGAACAAATATTCTCTCTCTTTTTGTCCTGATCCATTTCTATAAAAACCTGTCTGAAAATGAGCTGATCAGATTTTGGCCACTTGATGTCATAACGATGTTTTGTCTTGTGTAACCATTAGCCAATCAGCAACCAAGGTAACCCCCCCCCCCCACCTTATCACCTGCATCTCCTCTAGAGCACCATTGAGTTCTTTGTAACCAGATCTCTCTCAGAGGGGCGTGGGGAGGGGCTCCTTATTTTCATCTAAAGTAACAGACAGAGAATCAGCACATTTGGAAACAGGGCTGAAACAGAGGGGATTATGGTAATGCTGCAATTGATCTGTTTGGGTGTTTCAGCCAATCAGAGACAGGTTCTGTATATACTGAGAGCTATAATATATTGATGAAAAACAGTATAATAGGGGACCTTTAACACCTTACTTTGACCACCAGTCATTTGTTATGAGAAATAAAACTCCACTCTATCTTCAAATAACTTATTGCCCTTTGAAAGACACTTCAAACTTGGATGGTATAATGAAAACTAGCGTGTTTAAAACAAACAAAATATCCAGTATAAATTCATTTGTATTTGCTATAAATGCAGCATTGTTTCATTTAGTGTCAGTATCTTTTTAAGATAAATACATTTTACATGATAACCATTCACTGTATTTAAGTTTTTTGAAGTCAAACACGTGTCTCGCATTTGAGCATTGCTATAAGTAGTGAATAATATTATATTTCTCACGCAGCTTTGGTGACATGAATGTAAACCAAATCAGGTGTCTGCTTTGATTTCCACGCCTAGAAGTCTCAATATTTGTTAAAGGTTTCATAAAAACCTGGAGGCACTCTTTCACCAATCATTACATACTGACCCTTTTGAAGATATATCCAATGTGTGTTTGGGTTTGACACAAATTAGGGATTATTTAACTGTTTGTTTCTGAATTTGAAGATTTTTTTAACCGGTCTGGTGGTGGCTGTGATTTCTCTGTTATAACCGCTGATTCTTCAACACCTCTGAGACACCGGAGCATTTTCAGAGTCCTCTTTCAGACACATGGTAACCGTACTGTACGTAGATGTATCCAGTCACTGTACGTAAAAAAGAGTTGTACATAAAATGCTGAATGTACACGTTTTCATAAATCTTTACTAAAGTTCAAACACGTTTTACGAGTTGTTTTTTCTGATCACTCAAGAAAAGAGAGATTTGCCTCCTCAGCAGGACTTCAAATCTTTCGATACTGTGCCACAAAAAAATGCTTTTCAAGGCCAATTCCCTAATATTAGTCTCTGATTAATTACTTTGAGAGATACAGAGATATTTGTTCATCCTGATTACAAATCTAACCAGATATATTTACTTTCTTTCCTCATTGACATCAAGGCATACTAAGTGACAGCAACATCTGTAATGAAAAATGTATTATTATATTTTCTTTCTGTACTTAACACTATTCACATGGTTACCAAAGGATCTGATACCCTGCCATGCATATACTGTAAGAAGCCCTTAGTTGTCACCATGATATTAACAACAAACTAGTCACAGATCATGAACATTAATATTAATTTATACAAATATATATGAACAGATTTGTTGTACAAGCAGCAATTATTTGTATTGTAATAGCAGATTTATCTAAAAAAAGTGTCTGCATTAAAACATGTAGTCAGAAATGTTTATTGTTTAAGGCCACATGGAGACACAGAGAAGACCAGATGTCTCTGCCTCACTGTTCTGCATCGGTCACGTCTCTTCATGGGAGTCATGAGAGCGTAGTCGTGACGTCATTAACGTGAGACAAAAGAGCTGCTCTTCTTCTGTGGTGTCGGTGATGGCGGTAACCACTTTAGTTCACATATCTTTTAGTTAGATTAGAGATTAGATTTAGAGTTAGAGGAGGCCGGCGGCCTGCAGGATGTCCTCCACACTTCGGCCGGTCCATCGGGCTTTTAGACGGGTGACAGAGGAGGACTTTCCCCGCTTCATCCAGCAAGAAGTCTCCTCCCAACTGAAACCATAAAACAGCTGCTTCATGAATAGCTTTTTATATCAGCGTGTGCTTCAAATGAGTCAATTACATGCAGAGGGAAGTGGTTTCAGATCATTATAAGCAGACCCTGCAGCTCTATAGAGTGCCACAGTGATGCGTCCTAAAACCTGGAAGTAAGTTAGCATTTTACCACTTCCGGTTCCTTCGACAAAAACCAATGGCATTTCTCCATAGGCTTTAGGAAAATAGCTGGAAATAAGGTCTGTGGTTGAGACGCATTTAAGAGACGGATCACGTTTTGTTCTACGACATTAAATCCATCAGCAGTGACCCCACTGGTGATTTCTGAAGAGTTGACGTGTCTGAAAAACGATGGTTGTTAACAAGTGGCTGAATAGGACTACAGAAGTTGTCCAGGCCGTTGTACGTCATTACGCCGAACACGTAAACACTCCTCTAAGTTAGTTTCTGTTCTGCTTGAAAGCAAGTACCTGCTTCCTGCTAACTGTTAAAACAAACGCTTCAACTTGAACCATTTTGAATCTGTATGTTTGAATATAGATCTTGGCGTGACGTTGAAGCAGCGACCCTGCTGTTGTTCCTATAGCATAACGTTAGCATTTTGCTTCTGGCGACTAGATTTATGGTTAGAAAATGATAAAAGTAGGATAGACATTGTGGAGATTATCCGCTGAACCAAAACGTGATCCGTCTCTTAAAGTGTTTTCAACCACAGACCTGATTTCCAGCTATTTTCCAAAACCCTACGGAGAAATTGCATTGCTTTTTGAGGAAGGAACCGGAAGGAGTTTACTTCCGGGTTTTAGGACGAGTCACTGCGCCACTATTGTATTCTTGCATTTTTTACTAAGATGAAAACATTTTGAGGCAATAAATGTCGAAATGTGGTTACTCTGTACATTTTCCAGCTGATATGTTTGAAAATGTTGCTCACAATTCTCATATTCAAGCCAGAAATACATAGAAACCATATTGTATATGCAATTATAACGATATGTTTATCTGTAAAAAAAGTACATGGGAAATGATAAATATTCTTTATCAAATATTTACATGCAGCGCTTCTTTTTTCTAAGTACTTTATTTTTTAGTTGTACCTCATTTAGACTGATTTAATTCAGTAGATCACATTTACCCTCACTACCATTTCCTGTTGTTATTAAATGTTGTTTTTAATACAAATAAATATATTGTTTTAGTGGTTTTAACTGTACCCAAGAAGTGTCTTTATTTGTTTTTATCAAGATGGAATAAGACGATAATGGCACTTAATTTAAAAGGATGTTTTTGTAAGTATTTTGTTGTTGGTCAGGGCAATAATAAAGTCTCTCAGTTTCTAAGCCACAGCTCCAAGAGGGTGAGAAGTTAATAAGTGACCCAGCAGCACATTTTCAATCCCCAGGCGCGTTAATCTACCCAAGAATTTCGGCACATTTTTCTTTGACGTCACTGATTCAGGCCTCTTATCGGCACCTCAGTGTCAAAGTATTCTCTGTGTGGCACATCTGTACCTGGTAGATGTCCTTCAGCATGTGGGGGGGGCATGTCGGGGAAGTCTCTGTCCACGGCTGGGTACTCTGAGTACTGCAGCAGGCAGCCGAACCTCATCACCTTCGCGTAGGACGAGCCGAGGCCGAAACTCCTGTAGACCTGAGGCAGAGAGGCAAGGCACGTTTATTGATATAGCACTTTTCAACACAAGGCAATTCAAAGTGCTTTAAGAGACATTAGAAAGCAAAGATAATAAAACATGAATAACACAGGAACATGAATAAAAGTTACAGTGCAGAGTGAGATGTGAATAGTTCAATTAAAAGCAGCTTCAAAAGAAAGTCTTCAGCCTGGATTTAAAAGTAGTCAGAGTTGCAGCGGACCTGCAGGTTTCTGGGAGTTTGTTCCAGATATTTGACAATATCCCGAACCAGATTCTCACATTCCTCGACCCCTAGTCTTCCCGTGAAATGATACTTTCCTAACCTTTTTAAATTCCTCTCATCCTTCTCTGTGTTGCATCCCCAGACAACACAGTTTCCTGTTTTACTCTTACCCTTTAAACCACTTTTCTTTTCAATTCCCAGAATTAGGATTATTTAATAGAACATATATGATTTCAGCAGGAACACATGATGGCAGCTTCATGCACTCACAAGCAAAGAGAGAAGAACATCCTCTGTGGATACTGTGATATTAAAAGTGCTTCTGTGACATTTGGAAAATATTCTGTCTACATATTTGGTAGATTGCCCCTCGTCTTCATCTCACATCTGCTAACATCTGGCAGTTGGCTTTTCAGGATAAATGTTTTGGAGGCTTTTACTCACTCTGCTTTCAGGACAAATCATCAGCTTCTAAATCCTCTGTTCCCATCAGCCTCTCTGACACAGCTATAATCTTCTTTAACCGGTTTTATTTTATTTTTGGGAATGGTAAATGGACTGTACTTATATAGTGCTTTATCCAGTCTTTAAGACCCCTCAAAGCACTTTACAGACTACATGTCGTTCACCCATTCATACAGAGCAGTGTACCTTACTCTAGGACCTAACATTCACACACATTCACACACCGTTGGCCATCGGGAGAAACTCAGGGTTAAGTATCTTGCCCAAGGATACATCGACATGTTGGCTGCATGGGCTGGGATCGAACCCACAACCTTCTGGTTGAAAGACGACCGCACTCCCTCACAGCCACAGTCGCCCAAAGCAAATCCTAGTTTTTAGTAAATGCCTTAAAGGTCCCCTATGATACTGTTTTTCATCAATATATTATAGCTCTCAGATACAGAACATGTCTCTGAAGTGTTTGGCTCCAAACACCAAACAGATCATTGCAGCATTACCCATAATCCCCTCTGTTTCAGCCCTGTTTCCAAAGTGCTGGTTCTCTGTCTGTTACTTTAGATGAAAATAAGGAGCCCCTCCCCACGCCCCTCTGAGAGACATTTGGTTACAAAGAACTCAATGGTGCTCTAGGAGGAGATTCAGGTTGATAAGGTGGAGGGGGGGGGGGGGGGGGGGGGGGTTACCTTGGTGGCTGATTGGCTAATGGTTACACAAGCCAACAAATCGATATGACATCATAAAGTGGCCAAAATCTGATCAGCTCATTTTCAGACAGGTTTTTATAGAAATTGATCAAAAGAGAGAGGAATCTTTTGTTTCCTGAAACTTTCAGAGTCTCTGTCCACAGAGGGGACACATGTTGATGTAGAAGAGACATGAAGGAGAGGGACAACAGTGTTGATGTAGAAGAGACATGAAGAAGAGGGGGACACATGTTGATGTAGAAGAGACGTGGAGAAGAGGGGACACATGTGGATGTAGAAGAGACATGAAGAAGAGGGGGACACATGTTTGATGTAGAAGAGACATGAAGAAGAGGGGACACGTGTTGATGTAGAAAGAGACATGAAGAAGAGGGGACACATGTTGAATGTAGAAGAGACATAAGAAGAGGGGACACTGTGTTGATGTGAAGAGAACATGACAAGAAGAGTGGACACATGGTTATTGTAGAAGAGACATGAATAAGGAAGGGTACACATGTTGATGTAGAAGAGACATGAAGAAGATGGGATACATGTTGATGCAGAAGAGACATGAAGAAGAGGGGACACCATGTATGATGTAGAAGAGACATGAAAGAAGAGGGGACACATGTTGATGTAGAAGAGACATGAAGAAGAAGGGGACACATGTTGATGTAGAGAGAGACTGAATGAAAAGAAGAGGGGACACAGGTGGTTGATGTAGAAGAATCAATGAAGAAGAGGTTGGGACACATGTTGATGTTAGAAGAGACATGAGAAGGGAGGGACACATGTTGAGGTAGAAGAGACAGGAAGAAGAAAAAGGGGACAAATGTTGATGTAGAAGAGACCGGAAGAAGAGGGGACACCACTGTTGATGTAGAAGAGACAATGAAGAAGAGGGGAACACATTGTTGATGTAGAAGAGACATGGAAGAAGAGGGGACACAATTGTTGATGTAGAAGAAGATCATGAAGAAGAGGGGACACATGTGATGTAGAAGAGACATGAAGAAGCACCGGTTGGACACATGTTGATGTAGAAGAGAACGTGGAAGACAGAGCGGGACACATGTTGATGTAGAAGAGACATGAAGAAGAGGACACATGTTGATGTAGAAGAGACATGAACAAGTGGGTTTTGCATAATAGGTAACCTTTAGTATTTCTACTATGCTCTTCGTTTAAAGTGGATAGGGTGAATTCTGTATATAGACTGTATATATATAAAAAAGACCCAGATCCTGACCTTCCTCTGTGGATCCAGCAGCATGTCGAAGGTAGATCCAGTCTGCTCCCTCCACACCTGAGCTCCCTGCAAACCCCCGAAAGCAACGACCACGACCCGCACTGACCGAGCCTCCAGGACAGCCTGCAGCCACAGTATCAAAAACATGTATATTTGGCTTTTAAAGGATCTGTTATTCTCACTTTTCCACATTTCTGTGTAACTGCAAGTCATTTATTTGTAGGAAAGTTAATGGGTCGTGGCTGCAATGCCTTGGGAAAATGTTGGAACCTTTTGAAGCCAGAAAAAACACTTAAGGAATGCATGTGTTTAAAGGAATATTTTCAAAATATATGGAAATTAATAGGCAGATAAATCCTTACGAAGTTTGGGGATTTCTTTGTATTTGTTTTGAAAAAGATTCAATGCGTTGTCGCTTTAAAGACTGTGACACCTGGTGGCTTCGAACGGTAACGCAGATCTTCAGAGTGGGCCAAAGCATTAAAACACCTCTCGGATTTTAATAGTTTTTATTCTTATAGTGTTTAATAAAAGTCTAAATATATATAAAATACTACGGTTTCAAGATGTGACATTACACCATATGTTGATAGAGATTGCTAACCTTATTTCATTTTGCTTTGGATAAGAGCATCGGCTAAATTAAATGGAATAATAATGATATATTGTTTGCATTCGTTTTGTAAAATGGCAAGAAGGGGAAAGGTAGGAGGAGGTGGTCTTTATTTTCTGAATTTAAATGTATTTGTGTGTTTGTGCCATCCTGGAAAGACAACTTGAAAATATACGTGTTTTCTTTACCAGTTTGTCCTTCAGCTCGGCCACGTGGTCTCGTCACGGCAGTCATCCGTAATGTCTGATGAGAACCAGCAGAGTCTTCTCCCCCCGACCCAGGAACTGACCCAGAGTCACACTCCTGAGAACAACACAAAGAAAACTTTCTATTGAAAACGTCAATATGGCCACGAGGGTTTGAATGTGTCTTCTTCAGTGCTTTCAGCAAGAAGCCCCTCAAAGACCCTCGATTCTGGCTGTGTATGTCATCTTTGCTGTGATTTTTTATATTTGTCTGACCCCAGCACCAGAGGACAAGAAACTTAACCCACCAATATTTTCTTTTAAAGTTACCTCTTTCTGCAGGAATCTGATGAACTGATGTTTTCAGAGAGAAAGTTGCTTTTCAGGGAATTTGTAAATGTAGTGCACTCTGGGTATTTGTATTTGTTTAAACAGATGTCTTCCTTGCTGTGTAAGGGGAATGATGCCTCCTGCTGTTTATGACATTGCATTGCACGCTTTAGACTGATGAGCAAAGTTTGCCTTTTATATAGTGAGTCATTTAAAAATGAATTATTTTTACTTTAAATAAATAAAATAAACGTCAATATGGCAAGTATTTAATCTAGACCGACATATAACAGTGTTTCAGTATTAACAATAAGAGGCGATAAGAGCATCAACAACAGAGGTTCAGTTTGTGAACTCACTCTCCGCTGCGCCCGTCAGTGAAGGCCGTGTCGGGGCTCAGGCTGGTGGCCATCTTTCCTCCTGACAGCTGTCTGTCTGTCGTCTGCAGGCCTCCGTCCACGCTCTCCAGGAAGGAGTCCCACTCTGACTGCGTGTGCGCACACACACACACACACACACACACACACACACAGGTTATAGCCAGATAAATACCAGTAAATCACACTGTATCATTTTTTTTGCATTTGACTAAATACAAAAAAATACAACTACTTTGCACACTTTTCTTATGTATTCAATATCCTACGTTAATATTTTAGCACTTGGTATATCTATAGTTTATTCTAACTTATTTCTTTATATTTTATTCTAAGGATATTCACCTGTTGATATGTATATACTTAGTGTTTATTTTCTATGTATTTCTTGCTGTACAATCCATCTATTTATTTATATGTGTCGATGTATCTTGTTTATAAAATAATAATTAGTACATGCAGTTAAAACTGGGTCTATGAATCTGATTGTAACCTGATGAATATAGTACATAATATGCACAATTAAAACTGTATATATTTAAAGTGGACCTATCATGCTATATTTGAATAATATATTGTAGGGCCATACCTATATAAAACATGTCTGTGAAGTTTTTTTTTCAAAATACCAAACAGATCATGCATTTTAGCCATGCCTCATTTCGCTCTATTTGCTCTTTTTTAGCCCTGTTTTTGCAGGGGCTGATTCTGTGAGAAGTCTTCTTCGCTGCTTTGGTGGCAGACTACAGCGCCACCTACAGGCCTGGCATATGTACTACAGCGTCTCCAGCGCTTTCGAGCGGCAATGGCCGTGGCTGTCTCCTCCTGATAGGTGGAGAGTTGCCCATATAGACGGAGCTCCTCGTTCCTGAAGTCAGAGATATTTCAAATCTGGATCAGTCTGTATCAGATCCGATGTAGCCCCGTTTTTAGAGATTTGGGTATGGAGGAAAAGAGACAGGGTTGTGTTTTCTGACACTTGGTGAGTTCCCTGACACCCCGGGGACACATATTCATGTATAAAAGACGTACAAAAGTGCATGTTGCATGATAGGTCCCCTTTAAAATAAATACAAAGCCCAAAAAGCTTCACTCATACAGACCTCCAGCTGCAGAAGCTCCTCCACCTTATCTCTCACTGTGGCATTGCTGAAAAAATACAAAGCTTTATTGACAAACAGGCGCCACCCAACTTTATGAATAACAGAACAAAAGAAAAGTAATTGATTAACGACTGTAAGTCAATCTTAGCGTGGGAATAAGCAACGTCCATTGGCAGGTATTTTTATGATGATTCGCCACAGGGCTTTTTGTGGAGTCTAGACTTTGGATTGGTTAGGGTGGAGCTCAGTGTCAGGATGGGACGTGTGCCCAATAAAAGTGTGTTAAAAAGCATTCAGACTATCATGGAACATACAGTCTTTTAATAAATGCTGGAGGCAATGAGAACACACCTGTAAAGGAATGATAGAAAACCTGTAGTAACGCCTAAAAGACCCAAATTACACACACCATAAAGCTGTATGGAATTTCATTTATAAAATTAAAGACACAAATGTGTTTCTTTATTATCACTTTTATCATCATTCTGGTTTTATGTACAGTGGTGGAAAAGACACCGTAACACTGTAAGATACTCCAAGTAAAAGTATTGCATTGAGAATGATACTTAAGTAAAAGTATTTGAAAATGTACTTAAAGTATGAGTATTACAATGACTCGTTGCAGAACAATTCTTAAAAGGGGCCCTGTTATAAAGGATTTTTTTTGCATGTAAAAGGTCTGCAAATGATAACATCCCTGTGTTCCCCATTCATACATTTAAATACTTAAAAAGGAAAAAGCAATAAACTTTCATATTTGAGAAGCTGAAGCTGTGAAATGTTTTTACGTAAAGAAATTGCTGCCTCATCAACCCACTCATTGTAACAGGTGCTTAAACTTACTTTTGGGTCATTTTAAAAGTAATTGTTTCATAAGTTGTGTGTGTAAAAATGGTCTCTAGTAACTAACGCTGTAATTAAATACAGTGAAGTAAAAACTGCAATGTTTCCCTTTGAATTGTAGTGAGGTGGAAAGTGCTGCAAAAATAAAGCACCAGTAGCTCATAAGTGCACTTAAAGTTCCCCTATTATACTGTTTTCCATCAATATATTATAGGTCTCAGATATATACAGAGCCTGTCTCTGATTGGCTGAAACACCAAACAGATCATTGCAGCATTACCCATAATCCCCTCTGTTTCAGTCCTGTTTCCAAAGTGCTGATTCTCTGTCTGTTACTTTAGATGAAAATAAGGAGCCCCTCCCCACGCCCCTCTGAGAGACATTTGGTTACAAAGAACTCAATGGTGCTCTAGGAGGGAGATTCAGGTGATAGGGGGGGGGGCGGGGGGGGGGGGGGGGTTACCTTGGTTGCTGATTAGCTATGGTTAACTTCAAGAAAATCATGTTATGACATCATAAAGTGGCCCAAATCTGATCAGCTCATTTTCCAGACAGGTTTTTATAGAAATGGATCAGGACAAAAAGAGAGAGAATCTTTGTTACTGAAACTTCAGAGTCTCTTTACACAGAGGGGACACATGTTGATGTAGAAGAGACATGAAGAAGAGGGGGGATACATGTTGATATAGAAGAGACATGAAGAGAGAGGGGATAACATGTTGAGTGTAGAAGAGACTGAGAAAGGGACACATGTTGATGTAGAAGAGACATGAAAGAAGAGGGGGACACATGTTTGATGTAGAAGAGACATGAAGAAGAGGGGATACATGTTGATATAGAAGAGACATGAAGAAGAGGGGATACATGTTGAGTGGAGAAGAAGAGACATGGAGAAGAGGGGGACACATGTTGATGTAGAAGAGACATGAAGAAGAGGGGACACATGTTGATGTAGAAGAGACATGAAGAAGAGGGGACACATGTTGATGTAGAAGAGACATGGAGAAGAGGGGACACATGTTGATGTAGAAGAGACATGAAGAAGAGGGGACACATGTTGATGTAGAAGATACATGAAGAAGAGGGGATACATGTTGATATAGAAGAGACATGAAGAAGAGGGGATACATGTTGATGTAGAAGAGACATGGAGAAGAGGGGACACATGTTGATGTAGAAGAGACATGAAGAAGAGGGGACACATGTTGATGTAGAAGAGACATGAAGAAGAGGGGACACATGTTGATGTAGAAGAGACATGGAGAAGGGGGGGACACATGTTGATGTAGAAGAGACATGAAGAAGAGGGGACACATGTTGATGTAGAAGATACATGAAGAAGAGGGGATACATGTTGATATAGAAGAGACATGAAGAAGAGGGGATACATGTTGATGTAGAAGAGACATGGAGAAGAGGGGACACATGTTGATGTAGAAGAGACATGAAGAAGAGGGGACACATGTTGATGTAGAAGAGACATGAAGAAGAGGGGACACATGTTGATGTAGAAGAGACATGAAGAAGAGGGGATACATGTTGATATAGAAGAGACATGAAGAAGAGGGGGATACATGTTGATGTAGAAGAGACATGGAGAAGAAGAGGGGACACATGTTGATGTAGAAGAGACATGAAGAAGAGGGGACACATGTTGATGTAGAAGAGACATGAAGAAGAGGGGGACACATGTTGATGTAGAAGAGACATGGAGAAGAGGGGACACATGTTGATGTAGAAGAGACATGAAGAAGAGGGGACACATGTTGATGTAGAAGAGACATGGAGAAGAGGGGACACATGTTGATGTAGAAGAGACATGAGGAAGAGGGGACACATGTTGATGTAGAAGAGACATGAAGAAGAGGGGGACACATGTTGATGTAGAAGAGACATGAAGAAGAGGGACACATGTTGATGTAGAAGAGACATGGAGAAGAGGGGACACATGTTGATGTAGAAGAGACATGAGGAAGAGGGGACACATGTTGATGTAGAAGAGACATGAAGAAGAGGGGACACATGTTGATGTAGAAGAGACATGAAGAAGAGGGGACACATGTTGATGAAGAAGAGACATGAAGAAGAGGGGACACATGTTGATGTAGAAGAGACATGAAGAAGAGGGGATACATGTTGATATAGAAGAGACATGAAGAAGAGGGGATACATGTTGATGTAGAAGAGACATGGAGAAGAGGGGACACATGTTGATGTAGAAGAGACATGAAGAAGAGGGGACACATGTTGATGTAGAAGAGACATGAAGAAGAGGGGACACATGTTGATGTAGAAGAGACATGGAGAAGAGGGGACACATGTTGATGTAGAAGAGACATGAAGAAGAGGGGACACATGTTGATGTAGAAGAGACATGGAGAAGAGGGGACACATGTTGATGTAGAAGAGACATGAGGAAGAGGGGACACATGTTGATGTAGAAGAGACATGAAGAAGAGGGGACACATGTTGATGTAGAAGAGACATGAAGAAGAGGGGACACGTGCTGATGTAGAAGAGACATGGAGAAGAGGGGACACATGTTGATGTAGAAGAGACATGAAGAAGAGGGGATACATGTTGATGTAGAAGAGACATGAAGAAGAAGGGACACATGTTGATGTAGAAGAGACATGAAGAAGAGGGGACACATGTTGATGTAGAAGAGACATGAAGAAGAGGGGACACATGTTGATGTAGAAGAGACATGGAGAAGAGGGGACACATGTTGATGTAGAAGAGACATGGAGAAGAGGGGACACATGTTGATGTAGAAGAGACATGAGGAAGAGGGGACACATGTTGATGTAGAAGAGACATGAAGAAGAGGGGGACACATGTTGATGTAGAAGAGACATGAAGAAGAGGGGACACATGTTGATGTAGAAGAGACATGGAGAAGAGGGGACACATGTTGATGTAGAAGAGACATGGAGAAGAGGGGACACATGTTGATGTAGAAGAGACATGAAGAAGAGGGGACACATGTTGATGTAGAAGAGACATGAAGAAGAGGGGACACATGTTGATGTAGAAGAGACATGAAGAAGAGGGGGACACATGTTGATGTAGAAGAGACATGAAGAAGAGGGGACACATGTTGATGTAGAAGAGACATGAAGAAGAGGGGACACATGTTGATGTAGAAGAGACATGAAGAAGAGGGGACACATGTTGATGTAGAAGAGACATGGAGAAGAGGGGACACATGTTGATGTAGAAGAGACGTGAACAAGTGGATTTTGCATAATAGGTGACCTTTAAGTACAGTACTTGTGCAAATGTACTTAGTTACTTTATCCACCACTGGTTATATACTCGTACTTACTGATAAAACTTCTTCCATATGGCCTCTGCCTCGCTCCTCTTCTTCACTCTGAGGCTGCACAACAGCAACAACACAAACAATTATAATAATACAATGATTATAATTGAATTAATCACACTTAATTCTACTTATGAATGTTTCTACAAGTGTTGTGAACCTTTTGTAGAAGTCTGCTCCGGCTGTGATCAGGCCGAATAAAATGGAGATCTTATGGGGGGACGAACTTCTCCAGGGACTCTGCAGGAGAACAAAGGGACGCAGTGATTGGTCGGGCTGCTTTGTGCAATGTCACTGTGTGTTGGCAATAAAGCATGACAAGGATTACATTTCAACACCTTCAATCCAGGCCTGATCTCACTAATCTGCTTTAACAACTAATGAGGAGAATGGGTTGTAGCCAGCCTTTACATATTCAAAAGGAAACCTGTGAATTATAATTAATAATGTAATAATATGTTATAAACAGTGGTAACGATTGTCAATGTAGCTTAAAACTGGTTTATTTCAACTAGATTTGCCATTTTATCTGAAGTTATAATGATGCAACAACTGCAAAATGTCTTGCACTTCGAAGTTTTTTGCTTGTTGGGAAAACAAATGAATTACAAAAACAAACAGATCGTTATATCTGAACTATCTCTTTTTGAATTATTAATGGTTTACAGCAGAGCTGCCCAGTACGTCGTCGACCGCGGGGGCAATGCTGGTAGATCGCGAGTCATTCATAATAATAAAAAAATCCAGCTCCAATAGACAAAGCAGGGTTTGATCCCGCCTCCCTGCCACTTAATTCAAGAGTTTACTTGATTGACAGAAATAGCGACCTATCGCTTTCCAGTCTGTTAACCCAGAATGCAAAGCGATACAAAATCAGTCAAGTGCCGGGAAAACTCAAATTAAGTTAAAGAGACAAACAACAAAATGAGTGCGGGACCGAGCAAGAAGCTAAAGACAAACCACTTCCACCCAGAATGGGAGGAAGAATATTTTGTTGTGATGTCACATTCAAAGGTTATTTGCCTTATTTGTAAAGCAAGCGTCGCTTTGCCAAAGAAAGGTAACGTGGAGAGGCATTATCGGAGTGTTCACAAGGCATATGACAGCGACTTCCCTCCGAGTAGCGAGTTGAGAAAGATCATGTATTATTGCTACACAAACATTATCTTGCAGTCTTAGTGTCGCCAACTCCTTTCTAACATGCAAAAAGACAAACAAATGCGTCTATGGTCGGTGTATTTTCGACCTTTCCAATCCAGACGAGATCTCTCTCCCCAGTCTGTGTGCGAGGGGGCGGAGCAGTTTACACACACGCGGCGGCTACATGCGGGCAGCAACACACGGAGGAGATGGCGGAGAGACCTCCGAGGTGTGGTTAAACTTTACCCGTCTCGATGTGGAGAATGCTCGTTGCCAAAAGTGCAATAAGAGTTTAGCATGTAAGGGCGGTAACACGAGCAATTTGTCTAAACATTTAGCAAAAGTGCTCCACATTCAGACGGAGAAATGCACCGACTGTCTTAGTAGCTCTGTAGCCCCATCCACTAGTGATGTGTCGGTCGCGAACGAGCCGGCTCTTTTAAGTGAACGACGGAAGCCGGCTGTCCGCGAACGAGCCGTTTTTTCTTTTTTTTGCGGAGGGATCTAGATCGGCATGAAGGCACATTATGCAATGTGCACGTTATCCCGCTTGTTACATGGCCACATTCTCAACAAAGTGACGACATGACTCCCAATATTAATTGAAATGCTTTTATGGATTTAGAAAATAATTTTATTGATTAAAAAATAGTTGTATGTATTTATTTAAATTGACATGCATCCGCTAAGAAAAGTAGTCCGTTGTTACTGTTTGAACTAACGTAGCAACGACAGGAACTGCTTCGAGAGTGTTTTTGAGGAGCTTTTTGATTACAGATTTGAAAACATCGTTGCTTGCTTTAAAAGTAGCACAATTCATTATGTCAAACCTTGAAAGTATCTAGATACCCCTGCCCTAATGCCAAAGTAACTGGCAACTGAATATGTGTCGCCGTTTGATGTCTATGTCTGCGTAAAAAGGGGGGTTTCTGCCCCGTTACTTCAATAAGAATAAAACACGGAGGAGGGAGATCTCTTTTTCTCCCCCTCTTCTGAGAGCCCATCAGCTGATCTCAGAGCATGCTCCCCTCTCATGCAGGGGGGCGTGGTTTCTATAGCTAATAGTTACTGGTGTTATGTATGCTAGCAGCAACACACGGAGTTAACTACATTATACAAACATGGGTTAATGATTAGAGGTAACTGAGTTATTTATTTAGTTAAAGTTTCAGCTCTTCTGTCATCAGATTATTTAATACGATTTGTTAAAACATTGTTGTTTCTTTTGATGTGAAATATTATTTATTTTATTTAAATAAAAAGCAATGTTAATTTTGTTCAAAATGTGTTTAGTTAATTTAATAATATATGCATTTTTGAATCAAGTATTAATCTTTATTGTCTTCATTGTTAATTTCCACATGCCTAAAACAACCTCAAGCTACATCTAAAAGTTGATGGCTAAATAAGAGCGTTTGAGAAATTGTGCAAGGCATACAGTAATAGTCCGAATAGTCGATTAATCGTTTCATTAATCGATTATAAATGTAGTCGTTTGTTGCAGCCCTATTGTAGTTATCCCATGTATAAATAAAACGTGTTGTTCAGCAACCCTTGCAATTTGGGATTTTATTTTTGGTTGGTAGACCTCAGTGAGCTGGTCATTTCAAAAGTAGCTCACCAGCCAAAAAAGTGTAGGCACCCCTGGTTTACAGTATGTTTTTTTAATTCATTACGAATAGATTTGACATGTCATGTAATGGCCATCTACCCACGAACTTCAACTACATTTTAACACGTTTATGCTTGTTGTGACCAATATAAATGAAACAATAATTAACTAATTATCATAAAACCCGAACCTATATTACCTCTTCTTTAATTCGGCGTGACTAAAAGCTATTTAACAACACGCATTATAGTAAAATATCGTCTTTTAGTATTGATTCACGTGCTTCCTTCTGTCGAAAGCAGAATAGCACAGCATTATAAAAGCATAAAACAAGGTGCTTTTTGGTATTTTATGTGAGCCGAATTATTTATAAGACGAAAATAATACACTCTAAATTAACATAAGTCAAATTAAAGTGGTGTCTACCTTTCTTGGCATAAAACAATTTTAAATGTCCAAAATGTAAATGGAGTATTGCCTCTCTTACCTGCTGCTTCCTGCCGGGCTGTCTGCAGCAGAACTTCGCTCAGGTTGAGCAGCAAACTGAGAGCACAGGTTAAAGTGTCCTCAGAGACAGACACGTCCTCATCCATGGTCCCCGGCTCTCCTCTGCTCTCACACACCGACAGTAACGGGACAACTAGTGAACTACAAGTGTGTGTGTCGAGAGACCACGTGACCTCGTGACGTGGGTTTAAAGCATAGACTGTATGTTGAAAGCCCTTTAAAGCCATACCGTGCAGTCAATTGTTAAAGCCTGACTGTTGCAACACTGAGGGGTTTCTCAATTTTTGGGGAAATGTCACATTCACAAGAAGAAATGGACTGACTCTGAACCAAATTGTAGTCCTTTTTACGGAGAATTAAAACAATATGGCACCACAATTAAAAAATAAAGATGTATAAATTAAGAAGGACATCTAAACAAAATGTGTATTTAATGAATATTTTACTTGAAATTTCACCTTTTATTTGTATCACTATCTTTTTGCACTAACTGTGCTGTTAGTATATATGTATATACTAACTATGTATATAGTGTCCTTACTGTAAGGTATTTATTATATGTACAGCACTTTGGCTCGACCAAACATCGTTTTAAAAATGTGCTATATAAATAAAACTTGATTTGATTTGATTTTCCTTTATCTCTTTATTTACCTACTTTACTTTTGTATCTGTATGCTGTGTGTATATAATGTATGATGTAAATATATACATTTTGTTGTATAAGGGGGGGCAGTAGTAGTTTTAAGTTATATACAGTGGGGCAAAAAAGTATTTAGTCAGCCACCAATTGTGCAAGTTCTCCCACTTAAAAAGATGAGAGAGGCCTGTAATTTTCATCCTAGGTACACTTCAACTATGAGAGACAGAATGGGGGGGGGGGAATCCAGGAAATCACATTGTAGGATTTTTAATGAATTAATTGGTAAATTCCTCGGTAAAATAAGTATTTGGTCACCTACAAACAAACAAGATTTCTGGCTCTCACAGACCTGTGGGCCCACCCACATGCACGTCTGGCCCACCCACAGCCAATCAGCGCTTCATAGCGCAGAGCCGGGAAGCCCAGAAAGAAGTGCCACAAACTGCAGTTCATCTAGTGGCCGACAGGGGATGGATGCAAAAAGGAGCAATTCCCATAGACCCCCATGTTAAAATGCCCAACTTTACAGCAGAAATAAACATGTTTCTAGCCTGGATCCAATAAAACTTATTCTGGATATAGTTCGATTCCACCTTCATGACAATGGAATAGGGAGTGCATTTTTTTACCGTGAGTTTTTATAGTAAGTAAAGTAACTTTTGCCGTGAGTGAATGAGCGAGGGGGGCGGGGGAGTTTACACACACGCAGCTGCTACATGCAGCAACACACACAAGGAGGAGATGGCGGAGAGAACGCACTCCGAGGTGGTTAAACTTTACCCGTCTCGATGTGGACAATGCTCGTTGCCTAAAGTGCAATAAGAGTTTAGCATGTAAGGGCGGTAACACGAGCAATTTGTCTAAACATTTAGCAAAAGTGCTTCACATCCAGACGGAGAAATGCACCGGGTTCGACTGTCTTTCTAGTAGCTCTGTAGCCCCATCCACGAGGAACGTTTCCACGTCAGGTGTTATGTATGCTAGCAGCAACACACGGAGTTAACTACATTATACAAACATGGGTTAATGATTAGAGGTTATTTATTTTGTTAAAGTTTCAGCTATTCTGTTTACAATTCTGTCATCACATTATTTAATACGATTTGTTAAAAACATTGTTGTTTCTTTTGATGTGAAATATTATGTATTTCATTTAAATAAAAAGCAATGTTAGTTTTGTTCACAATTTGTTTAGTTAATTTACCTTACCACGATAAAATGTTAAAGGACCGGATCGATAAGACATAGACATACTTTATTGTCATTTCAACAAGACACAGAGTGTACTATTAAAACGAAATGTCGCTGTACTGGCTTACAGGAACAGGACAATATAAAAACTTGCTAAAATTGTACATATAAATAAATAATAGTGACGTGGTGCTGATAAAATTAAAGATAAAGTGTGCGTTTAAAATATAAAGACTTACTATACATATAAATAAAATAGACATACTATATAACAAATATGTGCTCTTTACACAGCGTAATGTAATCTCTGTGTTACTGGTCTACTTGCTGTTCAGCAGTCTGATGGCTTGGGGGAAAAAGCTATTGCAGAATCTGGCTGTTCTGCTCTTAATGCTGCGGAACCTCTTGCCGGAGTGCAGCAGGGAGAACAGAGCATGGTGAGGATGAGGGGGGTCTTTCAAAATGTTCTGGGCTTTTGTCAGGCAGCGTTTCTGAGCGGTGTCTCTGATGGGAGGGAGAGAAACTCCGATGATCTTCTCTGCTGTCCTGACCACTCTCTGCAGAGACTTCCAGTCTTTGGCGTTGCAGTCTCTCGACCAGATGGAGATGCCGCTGGTCAGCACGCTCTCTATGGTTCCTCTGTAGAACGTGGTGAGGATGGGAGGGGGGAGCTGCGCAGGAAGTGTAGGCGCTGCTGTGCCTTCTTAAATAGTGATGTAGTGTGAGTGGACCAGGTCAGACTGCTTGTGATATGCACCCCCAGTAACTTGGTGCTGTCTGTAGTCTTCACTGCTGTGCCGTTGATGTGGAGTGGTGGGTGACAGTGCTTTTTGTTCCTGAAGTCGACAATGATCTCTTTTGTTTTATCGACATTCAGGATCAGGTTGTTGGTGTTACACCAGTCTGTCAGATGTTTCACCTCCTCCCTGTAGGCCTGTTCGTTGTTGTCCCTGATGAGTCCCACCACTGTTGTATCGTCCGCATACTTTATGATGTGGTTGGTACTGAACCTGGAGCATAAGCATAAGCACTATCGATAAAAGTAGTAGTACCGTTGTGTACCCTATGTGGATGTCAGTTTTACACACATTCTGAGGCCGCCGTGCCTATGTTTTTTGTTTTCACTGCTAATTTATGCTTATGTTCTATTAGTGCATTAAAAAATCATTAATGAAGTTTCAACTCAGACCCCACGCTTAATATGTCACCTACATTTCTCCAGGCCCACCCACACAATAATTCCTCGCTACGCCACTGGTTTGAACTCGTTATCAGTATAAAAGACACCTGTCCACAACCTCAAACAGTCACACTACAAACGCCACTATGGCCAAGACCAAAGAGCTGTCAAAGTTGTAGACGCTGCTTTGAGTGACAACCTCCTTCCATCAGCAAGGGCATTGAAGATGAAACGTGGCTGGGTCTTTCAGCATGACAATGATCCCAAACACACCGCCCGAGCAACGAAGGAGTGGCTTCGTAAGAAGCATTTCAAGGTCCTGGAGTGGCCTAGCCAGTCTCCAGATCTCAACCCCATAGAAAATCTTTGGAGGGAATTGAAAGTCCGTGTTGCCCCAAAACATCACTGCTCTAGAGGAGATCTGCATGGAGGAATGGGCCAAAATACCAGCAACAGTGTGTGAAAACCTTGTGAAGACGTACAGAAAACGTTTGACCTCTGTCATAGCCAACAAAGGGTATATAACAAAGTATTGAGATGAACTTTTGTTATTGACCAAATACTTGTTTTCCACCATAATTTGCCAATAAATTCTTTAAAGATCAGACAATGTGATTTTCTGGATTTTTTTCTTCTCATTCTGTCTCTCATAGTTGAGGTATACCTAGGATGAACATTACAGGCCTCTCTCATCTTTTTAAGTGGGAGAACTTGCACAATTGGTGGCTGACTAAATACTTTTTTGCCCCACTGTATTTGACAAACATTTACCAAGATTCACAGTTTAACCTGAGTGTCCCCATTCACATACCGAATGTCCACAATACACTGTTCAATTGTACATCTGTTTGTAGTCATCATATTAAAAAGTGTATACATTCCTTACGTATACAGTATTTTATCTACTCAAAAGCATAGGTGTAGTTTTTTTAACAATAAAGCTGTGAAAAGTGGCATTTTAAGCTATTAAACATGTGAAAAATGCAATGTGAATGTTTGCCTAGGGCCCCCACCGACTCTAGGATCGCCACTGCATTTAGTCAAAATACAATAAAGCTATTAAACAGAAATCAAGATGAAAATGATAAAATAATACAAATAAAATGTATTATATAAAATAGAAGAAGCACCAACATCAATGTGTGTCCTGTTTTAGCAGTGTTGTGCTACATGTATTACAATAAATCCATTGGGAAAAGGACTATAAGTATTGTATTACATGCAAGAAACACAGAGACTGTTCACATTATCAATCAGTTTTATTGACTGCTGAACATTCAATCACCCGTTCAATGAAAACAAATAAAAAATCCCTCCTTCAAGTTTTAAAAACCCACCATAGCACTGAATGACTGGGTCACAGTGCAAAGATAAAGAGGACAAAAAGACGAGCAGTTAGCACAATCATTGATATAAGAAAGCCGACCGTCAACAATGCTGGAACTAAATGAGATATACCATGAAAGAGATGAGTTTGTTCTGTGTGGAATGAAATGCTGAATGTAGGGAAGCTGCCATTCAATTAAGAAGTCCTGCAGCGCAGAGCCATATAATAGAAGAGTTATGACATCTCCGTTCACTCCAATGGACCACTTTTTTACAGCAATGGCGGATCGTGGAGCCTCTCAATCGTTCCCCGGAAGTTAGCGCCAAGGCTAGCAGAGCTGTGGAGTTGCAGCATAATAGACCGTTCGTGACGGACTTTTAAAGGTAAGAAGAAGTTTAAAGATTTATATTGCGGATATTATCAGTACATCTGATTCAATTTAACATGTGTATTAAAGGATGTCAGTGGATTATCCCTAAATTAGTAGATTTAGGGAACGTTTACAGATAACAGATCAAGCTAGGATACCGAATCAAGTTAGCAACACACGTTGAACCAGGGTCGGCGTCATGGGGGGTCATTCGCGGGCCATGCCCCCCCAAATGAGTCACTGTGCCCCCCCAACGCAGGGTGGGCAAGCCTTGTCACTTTAACGATTTTTTCTTTTTTTTTTATCATATAGGCTAAGTGAAAACGTTTCCACTAAAGGTTTTTTGTGTGAAATACATCAGAAATAAATAATACAAATATAAAACACAGCCTGAGGTGTGCTCACTGCTGCTCTCTGATTGGTGTGTTGCTTGACCAATGACCCCCGACCTTTTTTTTGTTATCATT